GAAAGTGTTCCGGAACGGAGAGGTACTTCAGAGAGCTGTTTTCGTTGTGGAAGCTTCGTTCTAAAAATCAGCCAACCACCGTAATATGAGCCTTACATGTAACATACAAGGTTGCTGACTTCCGTATTACTGTTGCGTTTAAACAAGGTGCGAGTCACATAAACCTTCTAACAGCGTCAGTTGAGTTATCATTACCTGATGTAAAATGTATATCGTCTTCCATGCTTTCGGTTTTCCCAGACTTTAGTGCGTTCAGTGACTTCCTCTAAAAATATCTCTGCTGAGTGCACTCCAACTTGTATTGTCCTCGCGAATTGTAAAAACACGTTCAATCTTGAAAGAGCAATGAAGTGTTGAAAAGCCTCCACTGACCAACCTAGAATGTTGAACACACCAATAAGCATCGCTTTTGTTAATTTGCACCGTCAATAAAGTCGCAAAATGCACTCTCCAAAGAACTAAAAATCATGAAATCAAAGTGTCATTAAAGAGAAGGTTGATAAACGACCCTGTTTTGTCATTCGGAAATGATCAATCCGCATGTTACACCGTAATAATTGAATGTTGGAAATGGCCCTTTGTTTTGACGAACATGTTCACTTCCAGTGTTTAAGATTTGACTTGCGCCTTTTGAAACTCTGGAAGAAATGGTTGATTTTGAAATGTACGGACAGCTGCTGAATTCACAGTTGGGCATTCGGAGGTAAATACGTTGCAGAGTTATGAGAAACATTTGCTAAATTATATACCCTATGATGTTAAAGAAGCAGCTCACTAGAGCGAGAGAATCATATATATGAAGACCCTCTATAAATATTCCTAAATGGTGATCTCTACTTCAAGCCACTGCGACATGAAGATCACTGAAAAACTTGGCCATCAATGTCTTCGGGGTGCCGCAAGTTAGCCCACATTTTTGGTCAGTACATTGCAGATTTTTAAAGAAGCACAAACTCCAAAACGGCAAATGTATCTTACAATATAAGTTGATTGCAACATACTGCGTGCATTAAATTGATACCTCCCAAAAACAGACCTATTTGCCCATCGGTAATTCCCCTGGTCAGACTTTCCCGTGAGACAGGGCGTGACCTGGTAACGAGTAGTTTACCGGAGCTGCATTCAGGTTTGTTGTCCAGTATCTTCGCTTTTTTCACATAGTGCTGTTTGCACACGGTTTGTACTGTTACAATGAATCGCACGTAACTGGCCCTGAGCCAATCTGTCCGACGTTTGCTTTGAGTTGTGCCTGCAAACGATACTATACACGTCGAGCTGATGGCATTTCCCTTGCTTCCATATTCATATTTTTGGCATTGAGGGGCGCACCCACATGCCCTCAATTGGTTGCGCTGAAACCTTATTTTTTTAGCAGTAAGTCGCTGCGATTACCTTCAAAATGTCACTATGGCGTACTCTGGTTGACCGCATGTGTTCGCTAGTGAGAGTAGTGCGTCATGTATCCATAAACTTGCTACTCAGTTAAATTGAATTTGGACAACCCCTCCGGAAAAGGCAATATGATGATTGTTGTTCGAGGTTCCCTACAGGTAATACACCAGACAATATATTAAACGCCTCCTAAGGTGAAAGCACATTTGGTTGGTAAATGTTACTTACACGCAGTATTTGTATTCTAAAAGGCAGAAGAATCAGCTGATTCCATTTTTAGCTGGGGTGGCTTTACGACACACATCGCGCACGATCTGGATTTATCAGTTTCACTACAAACAGAAACGTTTGCACTTGTAGGTATCCGATAGGGTTATCCACCATCTCAGCAACACCAAAGAAATCCTTAGTTTAACGCTCATCCTGCAGTTTCCGTTAGTTAGTTTCAAATTCCTCTGGTCAGATCTGACTCTGCAGGGTATTAAATCGTTTCGGTAGCCTACAAAAAATATAAATAAATAAATGAAGATTACGTGATTCAAAGTTTAAGGTTCCAAATCGTCCACGAGGTGAGTTGATATGCCAGCTATATTCAACCATCCCAAATAAGCACCAACAGTGGGCTCTTAGTTGAAAAAATATCGCTTCAGCACAAAGTTGGTTGCTGGGACTAGAAATCGACGTTTCTGGTACAATGAACAAACTAATTGTAAAGCCATTCAATTCTCCAGGTAATTGGCGTGTTTCAGCTGCAAATAAATCCCTCTGAAATCTGGTTGAAATTATTTTGTTTCGCCACCAAAATAACAACTTATGTAGAAAAAAATCTGTGGCCAACTTGTAACCTGTGTCATCCCTTATTTTATCATTTTGCAGAAAACATATACAATCATTGCTGATTAGGGGGGAAATTTATAAAATATTCCAACACAAACTGAGCGCAAGATTATGTACTGTTTACCGCATAACCAATCTCCGATGATGACCAGTCTTTGAAAGGGCAGTATATGTGCTAATATCTCGTCGGTTTCCGGTAGAGAAACCTGAGGCATACGCTATCAGGTCTATGGATCGATCAGTTATGAAATGGTGTTAAAATGTGTTTTAAAAGAGCTACACTCCTCTGGGGCTTTGAAATCCACGAATTATTTTAGATCGCCTGCGATTTTATCCCACCAGGCCTGTCCTGAAAACAGGATTTGAGGAGTATGGAATTGGGAAACGAGTGGTAACTGAGTGACAATAATTTGTGGATTACCATTACTGTGATCCTAAACAATTGCTGGATGTTGAGGAGTCATTCTGACCTTCAAGAAGAAAACGACTAATCAAGCTTTTAACTTGTTTTACAAAATCGATTTATTTTGTCCAATTATGTGACACCAAACTCATCATTCACTATATTTAACACCAGAAGTTTAGGAAACAAGCCTTTATAAACTGAGATTAACAACCCTTATTCTACTGCAAGCATCTGATGAAACCAAAATATATATTTTAAATCAATAAAAAATGCATAAATTGTGACAGTCTTGTGGCTCTGCATGCTCCAAAAGTTATCGTACATGGACGTTGAGTTTATGGTAAATATTCACATACACGATGCATTCAAATTCAGTGATAACTTTTCTTGCTAAATCCGAGAAAGCGCTCAACTTCTAATTGGCGCAAGAAAGTACAGAATGACTGCTAGTGTTATCAGATTCATCTGATGTCACTGCGCCCAGTCGAATGGGGAAATAGTTTTTCGGATCAGCTCAGTCCACGTTGTACTACGTGTGCAACAAATTTCAGCCAATTTGTGACCGAAGGGAACACGCCCGGACTGTTGCTGTTTCATTTGGATCAGACCAGTCCTGTTATCTTCCAATCTACGCTTATCATCCTCTGAACGACAGTGACGATTTGGTCTCAATGAATGAATTGACCAGTTCTCGAAATCTAAACAGTTGCTTATTACGCAACTCAAGAAGTGCATGGAAAATGAAGCTTTTGTTTTGAGGTGACAAATGACGTAGAATTTACCGTCAAGTTAGCCACCCTCATTAAATCAGGAAAAATAACCCTCGTACGAACTGATCAAGTGCCATTGTAAACTGGCACAAAGGAGACCCTATGCAACTATTCATGTGGTACCACCCACTGTTTTCGCACCACTGTATCTACGAACTATGTTTCAAGGAACGCTATTCACAAGATATGTGCACACAGGCTACTTTGGGTAAGAGCTAAAACTCTTAACCTACCCAGCTCAATTCGTTTGAAACCTCGCATGTGCTTTGCTAAATGTAATCTTCTTGTTGTTTGAGCCGTTTCCGCTCAACTTATTACCCTTCAGTATGTTTCCGATGCATGGTGTAAAGTCTTGCCAAATAGGAAATTCCACTGAGATTTGGGCAGGTCTAGCCTCTGCTCAACCTTTTTGGCGATGTTTGTTCTGAAACATTCTTACCCATCTGAACTGATTCTAGCGGCTTTGAACCATGATCCTCGCCTGATTTGTAACAGTTGCGCTTTACACTGAGAAAGCAGAGTGCAGGGTCTTCTGACAAGCCTATGAATCCATTCGTCTCCAATTTTTGAAATTTCTGGCAAGATCCGGTGTCAAATGATATTATTCGGTAGACAAATGTACTTTATAAGTTCCGTATAATTGACATCATCATTATCATCCATAGCATGACATCAGTATTCAACACCGATGCTTCGCTGTCTTATGTGGCATGAGTTTGTTGTTGGACGTGGGTGTTACGTTTATACGTGGGCAGGGACAATGTCAGGATACCTACACCTACGCGAGGGACGATTAGGGACCTAAACCAAAGATTTTCGCTCAAAAGCCTAACTACAAGGCAGCTGTGTTTGGTGACGGAACAAGTCGCCACAAGTCCTAACCCCGAACCAAGAGGACCAGCAGACTGTAGTTGTTAGACCTTTACCCATTGACCAACCTGGTATGAGAGCTATGTGAGTGTCGCCGAGACACCACAAGTATACCTCAGTTGATCGCTGAGTTGCGCGAAATGTCCCATCACAGTGAGGTCAATCTCTTCGTGACGGGGTATGATTTATACTGGAAGTCATATCCAAATCATCATTATTACACCATAATGTGAGCAGCATTCCACATTTCGCTTTTACTTTACATTACCCAGGACTATTTCAGAAGTAGTTTCAAGTGATTGCGAGATACATAGGATTCTCAATGGCATTGTACTCATTTGAATAGTATTCCCATCTTTCTGGAGCAGTCATTCTGGTTGGTCTATTTCAAAGAGAGAAAGCATTAGATTCAATCTTTCATTTTTATCTGAACTCATCAGCACTGCACCGAACTTGCCACAAAAAATACAACTACGTGAGAAAAATGTGTTACCACCACTCAACCAGCGCATTCTGGACGCACACGAGTTATTGCGTCCGAACAGACGGGATTGTTTACGCTGATGGCTATGCGATGCGTCTGTTCAACAGATTGATCAACAACCCCATGGTTTTACTGATTGTGTAAGGCGATGAATCCGCTTGTCAACGAGGACAGTTGATCGTTACCGGGCGATTTTCTAAATAGCTGGTGGCTGTGGTATTTGTCGGGTTGCTTTCACACCATGCCGATCAATCTGTTGAATAAAATAAGCCCATCGCTCAATAATGCAACTTCTCTGTTCAGAAGTGGTAATTCCGGAAATGATGCACAGGTAATTCCGGACGCGAGGCAGCATGTTTACTCTCAGATCAGCGGCGGTCCAGCAAATGCAGCAGTCTGGGACAAGCATGAGGACGCGTTTCGTTTTGGCGTGACGCCGTTGGGAAGTAGACGAAATTAATTCAGTGGAAGTAGTGTCGTGGCGACTTCAGAACTGTTGTCGGAGGGGGGCGAAAGAGTTGCGACGCTGGTAAATATGAATTCGCGTTTGAACCGTCAATGATCGCGTGGAGAACACTTCAAAAGTGACCTTTCAACTAATCTACCACTTTCGTTGTAGAAAAATGCCACATTCGGTGACCGGGTATTCAGGTAGTCTAAGCCAGCATAATCGCTTCGAAGTCACCGGGGTCATCCCTTCTCTATACGTTTTTATTGACGTAAGGTTTTAGAAAACAATCTCCAAATGTACATCATATCTTAATACAGCAAACTGACCATCATTACAGGAATGTAATCAGAACAGTTGAAAAAGTATGCTCATTTCATACGGCTTGGTGCTTTGCCTCAAAGATTACTGTGTTAGTTTATGCAAAATTCAAAAAGTCAAGTCTGGTAATATTAACGCGGTGACTGGAATGAAACCAACATTTTGCAATGTTTGACGCTTTTTTGACGTTACCTGAGAAAACACACTGAAAAAAAACACCGGAACCGCAATGTAATTCTTGGTCATTCCTAGTCATTTATCACACCGAATTTCGTCAATTCTAAAGTAGCTGCCAAAATCACCGGCCAACCGATCTCTAAAAGTGTCAGGCTAATTGTTGGTTTTCTTCCTTTCAAAAGTGTTCCGCGTGATTTTTTACGTCATTCTTCATTCTTGGCACAGACGTGAACCTACCTTTTAGTGGATTAGATTCCGAATTAAATTCCACGTACACGAAGCACAAAGCTTCATTTGGACGCGATTCATCATGAGTCACCGCCTCTCCTCACCCTTTGTAAACTCTTGAATGATTATCCTATTATACTCATCTGGTGACCAGACAATAATTATGTAAGTGATAAATGAGTAATGTACCCCATACCATTGTCACCCGGCCCGTTTGACGTGTATCCTAAAAGACATTCCATTTTGTGTACATTTCAGAGTGTGGCTTTCCTGTCAGAAGAACCGAATTCATTTTATTGCACGAATGATTCACCGATTGTCACGGATCTGTTCGGAGAATCAGTGGATGAGCGAGTGATCGACGAGTCCGATTCGGTTTGTGCAGGCTACCGTCGAGTATGTTTGGCATGCATACGCAAGGCGGAGCAAGCTACCACTCGGTCGAAATTGGGAGCACCATGCTTATTCACCAGTAAGGAGTCCGAGGATGCTGGAGGTGAGTAAGGCATGAAGAAAATTAGCCTGCGTCAGTCGGATGTTTAGTACGGTTATTCGCAGAGTATTCTGAATGAACTCAGTAGTGTCCATTGTAGAGTTACAGGGACTACATTTGAAATCATTTTGAATTGAATCTGAACTAAATGAAGACTGTTTATCTGTCAGCGTAATTACAGGTACTACCAGAAGATCTGAACAAGCTGAGCGCAACGTTAACCACAGGGGTTTTCGCAGGGGTAGATTTTTCCAAAGTTTTCTTCAGCCGATCATGGCGTATGGTGGAAGACGTGGATCCACGTCCTACTCGGATATAGTAACATGTGCATCGTGGTAAGGACATCTTTACAAGATATTGGGCACCAGCCTGTTAAGCGTTGAACACTAACGCATCTAACGGATGTTTAACTATCTGAACTTCTATGCTGGTCTCAGTTATATAATAATTTATTCAAGGGGTTGAATAAACGGTATCAAATGGTTCCGTAACCCGGCGGTCGCACTGGTCCAGTTGGTAGTTGCTGAGACTGACCACTACGGAGTATTACTGTAAAATATTTGTTTTAAGATGGGTTGTTTAACGTCTTATATGCCATGCGAATAATGGCTCCAAGATATTTGGAAACTAATAAGCTCTCTTGAAAAATTCTTCGGCCTACACCCTGATTTGCATCGCATGAGAAAATGAGACAAAAGTGACCTTTTGTGCACAACAGTCGGCACCACCAAGGCATACTGTTTTGTCTTGACGTTGCAGAGCGAAACTCAGAAAACGGTTATAAAGCGAACAGAAAAGCACTCGCTAGAGGGTCTCCTGTATCAAAGAACTGTATGTTTGTAGGTTCCAGGTTCGGCCAACTTGCACCCAATTACCCGATAACTCTAATACTGGGGCGTTTGTTCCCGGAATCGTTAGTACAGGCTGCGACTTGTCCTACAGGTGCACCTTATCTACGGATCATTTATGCACAACATATTCGCTCATGTCTCGTTTTCGCTCACTGGTTCTGTCACTAGGATGGGGAATCAAAATTTAGTACGCCACAAGTATTGTTGTACAATGGTGTCACTTAGACTGTAGTCCGACGCAACCATCTTACTTATTTCTTAATCAGAGGATGTTTGCTTACGTTGGCATGATGTGGATATTAAAACGAGTTCCGAGTTCTCAGAAAATCTTTTGCTTGTTATGAACCAGGGGTGCAAATATTGAGGACGCGTTGGACCTTCAAACGTGTCTCTTGTCAGCTGAAGTTAATATTTCATTGGAGTTTAGTTTGCATAACTCTATGGTACTTTTCGTCTATATGGATTTGCCTCAGGGGTGTCCGCTAGATCATACTTTGTATGTAATCTTGGGATCAACTTTTCACTCGCATTCAATCCGGTTGACAATTAGGGGCTTTCAGTTGAGGTGTTGGTGGTATCAAATCTATTACCACCTGTTTCCTTGGGTATACACCGGTTGAAGGGCTTCCAAATGGATACATGTTTTAATCCGCCTAAATCACATGAGGCACTACCCATTGTACGCAGATTGCGACTGGTGGGTAGTCATGCATGAAAACTCGTGTTGGTGTTCTGCGTTGAGAAAGCATTTTATATGACAATAGGATAACGGGCCTGTCCGTACCAAGTAGATCATTCAAACATTTCTTCAAGCAAACATGATAAACTGACAGTATAAACTACGTGAAAAAGAATCTATTCTTTAATCGAGTGAAAAATACCTGGAACCGACTGAGTAGTCATCGTTTTCGAAAACGGTTGGTGACAATTTGTAGCTAATATCTACATGGAGGACTTCGAACAAATAGTCTTGGCCGGATTTCATTGTCCAGCTAAAGTTTTTGGCGTTATGTTGACGACACGTTTGTTGTAATCAAACAGCTTCCACGACTATCTCAATAGTTTGTACCCACATATTAAGTTTAGCATGGAAATAGAGTCCACCTCGGGGACATTACCCTTTCTGGGCTGTATAACACATAAGATTGGTGGGAAATTGAAAACGACTATTTACCAGAAACCAAGAGGTATAGGAAGCGTCTAAGGCTATTCATCAGCACACCCAAACTCTGTGTACGCCAGTATTGTCTCATCGATGTTTCGTCAAGTCAGAGCGCTGTGCACAGAAGAGATTGACCGAACGGCAGCTCAGATCGAGATTGTCAACAGACGTCAAGTAATAGGATATACAGCGAGTTTGAATAAGCGTCAACTAAGAAAGATATTGGTTCTTGTATCTTGATCCAATAAGGAATGGATTGGCACAGCAGTCATTACGTATGAAGCAGGAACATCGAAGGTTATTAAAAGACTGTTGAACTCACCCAACATTCGAGCAGCTTTTCGGAAGGGAAAAATTTACTGCAACGCTTGCACTAAGGTGTACATAGAACAAAATCCCCGGGAATTGCATACCAGAATTGGTGAGCATAAAAGAAGGATGAACAAACCAACAAGGGACGAAGAACAATACGAAACGCTAGTCAAAGACTCAGGAATGGTGGTGCATGACTTAGACACGGGCATAGAATAGATCTGGAGAATGTGGAAGTCTTAAGACGGGTACCGCAATTCACACCACAGCGGCTGATAGCCGAGGTGGTGGAGATTACTAAGCATCACAGCGTGAATAGAATCGAGGGTGTAGAGCTAGTGAGCGTATGGAAAGCGGTCTTAGATAAGCCGAGTTGACAAGTGACGGTGTGGTTGTCAATCCACGTAGGATCATTAGAAAAAAACCTGGAGGTGGGGTTGGGAATCCCAACCCGACCAAAGGTCACAGCATCCCCCTTACACAACTATCTTAACACTAGCTCATCCACACGGACAGAAGGTTCAGACGAGGTTCAAGTGAACGAACCAGAAGAACTAGACCCTGGGCTGGACGCAAACACATGTAGGTTCCCCACCGACCCAACACTTGATCAACCACCCTAACACACAAAAATCCTTCGGCCAACACCAAACAGAGATTTAGCTTTACTCAGCTGATTGGTCCCCCTTCCGCCTTAAATCTCGAGTAACCTCGGAACCTGGTCACTTGGCCTGACGAAGCTTTTATGTCAAAAGACAAAACGTTGCTCAGCAATAAATCTTCCGATTGTCACCAAGCTTTTTCGAAAACCTACTCCTTATTTTTCTAAACTCTGACCATCGTTTCCGAAGTTTCGTAGCCCGGTTTCTAACGAAGTCCATCTTAAGTGCACAGACTCGGTGCACTGGGTACACAAATTTCTTAATTTGGGGCCGATTTTTAACCGAGTCTGTCCATATAGTACGTATACATTCGAGGTTGCGATGCACAGACCACTGGTCCAAATTGTGAATATTGCATCTACTGTCCCATTTGCTAAGCTTCTGTGGCGTGTCAGCCTAATTCACTCCTCCTGTCACCGCTTTTGGACCGGAAAAAACAGTTCCTTACTTTTGGAACTCAAGATGAGCTTCATATTGGCGCTATAATTTACTATCACCTACCATGAAGACAGACAAAACAATCCGTATAAGAGTTTCATGGTCTCGTCGTTGTGCACACAATCCTTAGCGAGTGGTAAAGATAACAACGCATTTTGAAGTGTTATCTCCCGAGGCAGAAGCATTCAGCTACAGAGACGCGTAGGATACACATCGACTGGGCATTACGATCGGCTGTCAGGTCTGGAAAACCGTGACGAAGAATCGACTTCAGTGGCCTACTATGACCTATTTCAGCAACCCTGAATATCCTTTCTTATAATTTAAGAAACTGCGAAGACATTTCCCAGCTGGGATAGGAAACATCTGGACTTTGACCTGCGGATTTCCAGTCTTGCTGGTAATAGTGGTCCACCCAGTTCTGCAAAATTTGGAGTTTTTCCAGGCCATCACCACAGAGACTTGTGCCAGCAACATATTCACTTCAATACCCGGTCGCAAAATTATTTTCTGCTGATTATTCGGGTAACCAGTTGACAGCAAAGTGGAAAATATGGGTAAAGCTGAGCAAGACAATATCAAATGTGCTCATGCTTACTGTCTATCCGGATGGCAAGTTTACTGATGACTGTTAAGCCTAACGGTGTTTTCCAGCTTCTCGGGGCCACTGCCAACCACGAGAATAGTTCGTCGTCCTAAAACGGGAAGTATGCTGCAGCAAGCTCCATTGATTTGGGTTTCGGTCACAAAGCAAAATATTTGATCAATACTGTCTATTTCAAGGTAGGACTCTGCTTGTTTTAGCCTCGTGTGTGTTTCGTATTGGGGAAACATTTTGTAGGAGGGATGCCAACAATAGTACAACAATACTAAGAAGACGATATTTACGAAAAATAGCTCGGTTCATTCTGTAGGCCATTTATGTTGAATTAAAAGAGGCACTTGGAGGAGTAGTTTGAGGATTTCCGACTACAGTGCTGCCGCCAAATTTCGATATTCCCTTCCTATGTTTCAATAATCCACACCCCTATAGGATGCACAATCTTTTGTTAATGAAGGTATCACTCGCGTTCCAAAATGTGGTCCTTTTGAGAGCCCGTGTGACCTTTTGGCTGAACATCACGTCGAAAATTTGGAAGCACTGACAACTACCTGAATGAGAATATTTTACGGGCCCCTCAGCCCTGGCGACGCTGGCTCGGTCCAAACCAACCAAGTGGCTGGCTCGTGTTGTCACCTCGTCTGTTAGCCTGAGCGTTCCGCTACTTTAGAAATGCCCCAGCTCGAGATCTTGCTGAAAGTGTCTGTAGACCGTGTCCGTTGTTATTGGGTCTAGTAACGGACAAGTTGAGTGGCTTTATTTGAAACGAACAATTACGCACCTTAAAAATAATCGATTCCGTTTGACCAGTGAATTTTCTTATGCTCACTATTGGTCACCACAGTATCCTTGGTGCCAGAATTGTCCACCACGATAGAGTCAGTAGTCTGAAACAAGAATATGGATTAGGCATGCAGCAACGTTGCACGACGTTATGCAACAATGTTATTGATGGTTAGGGAGAACGTGTTAACAGC